AGTCTTTGCCCACTCATAGTTACTTTTTCCACAGATTTGGTGTTTCACTATGGCTTTGTATGCAGTGTTGACTTCGTGTGCTATTACTAGTTTGGTTGCCTTGGTACCTTGCAAAATGTCCACCCCTGAAGTCTGCCCTGTATTCCACCTTTCCATGGAGCTTGTCTGGTTTTTGTGTAACTCTGCCCTGATGATCTATACAGCCACTCTGCAGCTTCTTTCATTATCTATCACAGCCAACTGTGTTTTTATGTCCAGTAGCTTTTCACATCCTGTTTATTCATCTTAATCTCAAGCCAAGGCCTGGTCATCTGCCTGCAGCCTGACAGGATCCAACTGGCTGACAGGTCAGTTCTCCTGACATCACTCCACTGCCCACTGGAGCAGCTGCCTGGGCAGTGAATGACTGGAGGAGCATCAGTCCCACTCTGTTGGAAAAACTGAGTCAGGGTGATCCTACTGCTGCCACTCCTTTTCCAGCTCTTTCCAGTGTCATCTTGGCATTCCAGTGGCCATTTGCTCCACCATGGCATCAGGACAGACAGCTGCACCATTGTGCTTTGTGTCATGTACATCGACCTGCAGAGAGTCTTTCCTTGCTTGTGTCCCTGTCTCCAAAGGATTTTGTAACAGAAGTGGAGATGGGGTGCAGGTTGTAAATAAAAGAAAATTATCTCTTCCATTGTTGCTTACTGCCCACTATCCATCTGTGTGCCAGCATTTGCCAGCTAGAGCACTAATGCCAGTAATGCTGGCAGTGTGTTATCTCCAGTAGTTGTCTCTGTCCCACGAGAGAAAACATGGTCAGTCTGCAGGGAAAAAGGGTCTCTTGATCTCAGCAGTTTATCATCCCTTCACAGGCAGTCGGTATGTCAACACCTTACTTTTAAGGTTTTGGTTTGGGATATTTTTAGACATTTGGGAAAATGTCTAAAGAAAAAAGGGATGATTTTCAAGAAGAAAAGTGTGTGTATTGGTTGGTAGGAGGCCTTTGCTATGTTTCCCTAATCTTGGGTTATTGTGGTTTGTATACTTCGTAATGTAGCATATTTATCTTTTTCCCTCTTAACTTTTGTATTCCTTGTTCACTGGAACATAGTATCTCTATTGGAAACCAACTGGCGCAGGTTATGACACCAAGCATTAATATGATTTCAGAAAGCAGCTATAATCTATGGGAGTATTTGGAAGGCAGTGAGTGTTCTTCATTAGGGGCCTCCAGAAGTGGATCTTCTAAGTGCTAAAGGGATAGAAAAGAAAATGGGAAGGGATGAAGAAAAACAGAGAGTAAAAGAGCTGGTGGGACAAGGGATAAACAGAGACAAGGGACAAAGACAAATCATCTCCACTCACTAATAATGAGCCATTAAAAAACTGCTGATAAGTGCTTTGCAGAAGGCCAGCCTTGACTTTGTAACTGATAAGGGAGAACAATAGCAACATGAGGATTTGGGGATATTGGGAGGACCTCTGAACTACACAAAACTTAGTAACAACACTTTGGGGGCATAATTGAGAGTGGGCATTTGAGGGGCCAGCCTCAGCCAATTTTGGTCAGTAAATATACCTGACCAAGCATTGTGACAGATCAACACAGTCTGTCATCTTTTTTTTTTTTCCTTACCTGTTTGTAATCTCTCTTCTTTGTCCCTTGCCTGCAAGTGCTGTAAGGACTAGGTGCCCCAAGCCTGTGGTGTCAGCAGCAGTGGGTGGGGGTCTCAGCTCCAAGCACAGGGGCAGTAACATCAAATGCACTATCAGGGGGGACAGGCAGGGTGTGTCCTACATGCATCCGCGGTAAGACTGAGGTGAGTCATGCCGAGCATATCTGGATTGGGCTGCTGGTTGCAGCCTGTGTGGCTGTGCTACTGCTGGCAGGGCAGGCAGGCTGTCTAATATCTGTGTGCTTTCACCCCGTGTGTATGTCTCTTTGGCATGTGCAGTTCACTAGCAAACCTCAAATTGAAGTGCAGGGTGTGGGAGAGGGACTTTTTACAAGGATGAGTAGTGATAGGACATGGGGTAATAGTTTTAAACTGAGAGTAGGTTAGGATTGGACATTAGGAAGAAATTCATTATTGTGAGGGTGGTGAGGTGCTGGTACATGTTGCCTGGAGCAGCTGTGGATACCCCATCCCTGGGAATGTTCAAGGCCAGGTTGGGCGGGGCCCTGAGCAACCTACTCTAATTGAAGGTGTCCTGCCCATGGCAGAGGTTGGAACTAGAGGATCTTCACGGCCCCTTCTAACCATTCTGTGTTTCTACAGTTCTGTGGTCTGGTAAGGGGTAGAGGCCCTTGGAAGGGACCAGAGGGTCCTTGCTGGTGCCTGTAAGGTGAGTGTGTGCATCTGCCTGCTAGTGACTTGCTGCCAGCCAGCAAGCAGGAGGCCCATGAGAGAGACACAAGAGCTGTGGACCCAGGCCGATGGGTATTATATGGACAGAAGGGTATACTGTGCTGGTACCGAGGGATCCATGAGTGCTCATGTGTTTCTGCGTTTTGAGGGGGTGGGAGGTGGCATGCTCTCAGTAGTGAACTTCAGTCCTGATCAGAAAAGAAGGAAGAGGTGTTGACTGGCTTTGCTGAAGTTCCTGTGAGTCCTGGGAGTCGTACATGCTATATAGCTGAGCTTTGCTACTCGTTGAACCTGTCAATTAGAAAGCAACTGCTACATCTGTGGCCCAAGGAGAGACAACTCTGGACACACTTGGCTGGCCTGCAGAATCAGGGCAGGAGGAATCCCTGGACTGGTCTCAGAGATGCTGGAGGGGATATCCATTTATAGCGTCCCTTAGCACAATTGGAAAGAGGGTTCCATAATAGATATTCAATACTAAGGTTTTCCTTGTGAGTCAGGTGCATCTCAAAGTTGAGAAAACTGTGCTGGGAAAAATACCACTATCTCCTTTTTCTATTTTATTTTCTGTTGCTGACTATTGATAGAATAAACATTTATTTATTACAGTAACTTGACTCATGTGACAACATTTACATAAGCAAAGTTCTGTGGAAGAATATTTAAGTCAAAAAATCTTAGTTTGCCTTAAATTTGGGAGAAGTGAAGGAGATAATTTACAAATTTGGGGATTTAAGCCTGAAGAGGAGGTTCTTGGCCTCATTCTGTATGCTAGGCATTTCAGTGTGGCTTTCATGATTTCACATTCCAAAGTGTAATTAATTCTCCAGTATTATTCATGATTCTGCAATGTCTTGGGAATTCTGCAATATTGTCATGTGAAAATTAAACTTCTGACCATTCTCATGAAGGGATCGCTGAAGTTTGTCTGCCTCTGTACTGAACCCTGTTGCTGCATTTAAATCCTAAGGAGACAGGAAATAGACAGTTTTATTTGGGATGAAAAATCATAGGAATTGTATTTTGGTTGGTTTTCTTTTAATAAACCAACAGCTTGATTTAATGAAAAATACTAGGTTCCAGAGCTTCATTTGTAACCCCCAACCTCCTGTATGACAGTAAACATGTCACTTAAACCATGTGTCCTACTTTCACCATCTGTGAGACACTTTGGAAAGTCATGGAAAACTGAATCATAGGTCTTTTCCATGTCTTATTAGGTCATCCAACTGTTCATCTGCCAGTAGAAGATTGTTTCCTACATCCACGAGTGTTTTTCCGATGTGGATCGTGTCCTCTAAGTGATTGGGCTTCCAGTAGTACCTTTGGGAGATGATTTTGCAAAGTTCTAGATTTCATTGTCAGGAAGCTCTTCTGACATTCACAAAAAGAGGTTTTTTGTTGTTGTTGTTAATTTAATTAAGTTCTGTTACTTTTTTCCCATTACGATTGTTAACATAATAGTTAATTGTTTGCGGTTAATAGATAATTGTTTATAGTTGTAAGACATACGCAATTCATGCTACACCTTAAAGGTCTAGATAAATTACATGTCTCTATAAAAGTATCTTATCTATATGAAGAAGCAAAACATAAGGTTTTGAGATGCAAGATAGTACCTTTTATAAGAAGGTGAGCTACTTGGTTCTTCCTCAAATTATGTCCAAGGAAGTGCACAGACTGCTTCAGATTTACGACAGAAAAGGGATGGAATATGGAACTTAACAGTGGAGTAAAAGTGAAGGTATTGGAATAGGTTTCAAGAATGCTTAAGCAGGGAAAGAAAGAAATTAACAAATACAACAGAGTTGTTGAACGTGAAAGGTATCAGAATAACTAAGTTACTTTGTACAGAATTTTAACTTTCAAAATGTGTGGACATTATTTGGGTCTGGCATAAGAATAGTTAAAGTGCTTTTAAAACGGCCAGCTGGGAAGCAACTGGTATGTAACATGATTTTTAGTTGCACTGCCCGAGGAGGAAAATAATTTTCAGTTAATTCAGTTGATGAGGTTAATAGAGCGTTTTGTAATACAGCCTACATAAAGCATGTGTCTTAAAATAGCAAGAAGTCTGTTATGGGGCATGTTTTGTAAAATATTCAGCTTTTAACAAAATCCACTTGTCCAGGATTTTCATTCCTATATTTCAGCTGCTAATGCAAACTGCATGTTCAATCAGTCTCTTTAGAAGAAAGATAATAATTTTCGTCTCAGCTTAATTTTCATTGTCTTTAACTTACATATTCATGTACATAAGTTCTGATGTAAATGCATCAGAAGATAAGCTGGAAATTTAAGGCCTTCCGAAGTTTATTTGTAGTACAACAATATGGGCAATTGAAATACTTCTGTGAATAAAACCACCTATTCTGCATACTTTGCTGTTGAAAAGTCCCCCTTGCCTTCAGCACTAGTATATACAGTCAGATTAAGTATAAGGTAGTGTTTTGGAAAGGTCAGTCAGGACGAATGTAGTGTTTACCTACACACCAAAAAATTCGCCACATAACAAACTGGTTTTCTTCCTTTAAGAGATTAGGGAGGTGCCATGATTAGAATGTTTATAAGGAAGGTCAACCTTAGAAAGACTTCATTAAGTCTGATCATAAGAAGAATAATAAACTTATCTTTCATCTACAGGAAATAAAACCAGATGAAGTTACCAGACTTGCTCTTAGGACAGAAGTTAATTTTGAAAGTGTCTGCAAAAAGGTAAGACGTGCGAATACATGGATTTGGCACAGTGTGTTCTGTTTGTTGTGTTGTATCTTCTTTGCAAATCTTCCTTTTCTCAGGAGGTTTATCCACTGGGACATACCTACACAAAAATGAATAGCTGTCTATTATATTGTGGATTAGTCCCTAGTAATTGGAACAAAATACCAGGAAGCATAGTAGTGATTTCTTAGTCTTTACAAATAGATTTGTTGTGTTTATGTAGTGTATATATATGATTCAATTAGTGTAGATAATCTAAGTAAGCTTTCAGCAACAGTTAGAAAAAGGTTCTCAATACTTTTAAATGCAGAAACAAGTTTCCACATGGACAAAACACGACAAACATTAGCTAGAAATAAAGATGGAATTCTAACACCCCTGTGGCTCATTGGTTTCATTGTAATGTTTCTCTTGAAGCCTCCTCATATACAGTATCAAATATTAACTGCCTAATTGGTGATGTCTGTAAGAGGTTAAATGAAGACATAGAAGTAGGAGGATGCTCGTTGAAAGAAGCAGCTGAGGCTGAGAGCAGTACCATTTTAAAGAACATGCTACATTATTGACGATGGAAAGCAATTCTGAGTTTAAAAACGTCAATACATGACGTTTTATGGGTTTTTTCACTCTATCCTTAATTGCTATGGGTGGTCCACTGAGGAAGGCTGAAACCTGAAATATTTATAGTACATAGGCTAAGTTTTAATATAGAATTGGGTCATTTACTCCTGTAATGGCATCATTAGTTTGTAATATAACTCTAGTGTTGCATATTGCAGTCATATCAGTGTGATGTAGTTCAGTTATTAGCATAGTGTGCAGCAAGTTTTTTAATGTTTTATGTCAGCAAAATCAAGTTAATAGGAAAATATAATATGAATTTGGTAATTCTGGAGGAGTGTTTGGGTGGAAGCATTTTAACTGATTTTCCTTCTTTTAATAATAGAAGAGAGTAAGGAAAAGGTTGCAGATACAGTGATGTGAATCCCAAAAGCATTCTTCTTTTAAATTTATTTGAACAGAAATTTCCAGTGTGAAAATGAGGTAGTGAGAAACTGGTTACTGTAATGTTAGAAATGGGGCCGACATGAAGATTTTGGATGTGTGAGAACACATGGAGAGGGATTTCATTCTTGAAGAGGGATGCTAAATTCAAACAGTGACATCGTGTCACTTAACCATAGGAGATTCTTCTGCCAAGATTTCAAATTCATCAGGCTTGTGCTGATTTCATAAAGTTAAGGAGCACCAAAATGCAATTATTGATGCTATTTTAAAGGAGTTTGTAGGTTTATAGTTGGAATTTTATTTTCTAAGGTGGCAATTTTATTGACAAGAATGCTTGAAGGAATAGAATTAAACTTACTTTCACCTCATTATTTTTTATATATTCATAGACATGACTGATGGTGTGTTTCTCATATTTACTTGAAGTCTTAAAATAGACTTTAATTTAGCTTTAATTCTTGAAAATGTATAATGCAGGTATCTTCTTGGAACTGTTTTGGGGTTTTGATCTGTTGTTTCTTTTACCTTCTGTTGCTGGTCCTGTTTTTCAGGGGAATGAAAATCTGTTAATCTCATAGTTTTTAGTGGATGGAACTTACATTTGAAATCAAGCTGATGGATGGATGCTGATGCTTTTTTAACCCATGGAGGATTTTAACCTCACTGCAGTAGAAGAATATGTACAATTGTGTGACAAGTGGTGGCTGTGCCATCATAACTTCATTGGTTGCTTTTAGTTGGCCATAGCATATCCCCAGCTGAAGAAGGCATCCCTTCTGTGCTTAAACAGACATTAATTCACCAATATTTTATTTCTTATTTTCTCACAGTTAGTCATTAAACATACAATTAAAAAAATTTATTTTCTGTCCTTCGCAATATTCTGTAGTCTCATGAAATACCGACCACACTGTTTACCTTTTCATTAACTTGAGTTTCAAAATACTTGAAGGAAAACATCCTGTGGCTGTTTTCATTTTCAGAATAGGTTTGTTTTCATTGACAAAAGGCAATCTGCTTTTAATTCACTGTGGAATGCTGAATATTAGTTTTGCATAGTGGTCATGTAGTAAAGATACTTTTTTGATTGCTTCTGCTCACTGAACTCTTATGTTCCATTACTGTTTCCCAACATTTTTCAGAATAAGCTAAACATACTTTTCTATTTCAATCAAGACAATAAAATTGTGCTAAATGTTTAGCAAGTGGCAATTTACTGGGAATTCTTAATGTTTTAGATTTCAATATGGCTGTATTGATAATAAGCAGATCAGATTTATCTAGTTGCAGGGGATGACACAAGACTTTTTATAAAAGCATTACAAGAAGCAGCAGGTGAACAATTCTTAGTGCATGTCTGCTGAAATATTTTTGATCTATTTTAATATCGCTGCAGCTGGCACCATTGTTACCAACAGATGATAAATTCCATTGTAAAAATTGTAATAAATGTTACCATGCGACTTCGGCTAGGCTTTATATTGTTGGTTTTATTTACAGCTGTTGAAAAACAGAACCCGTATTTTGTAGGTTTTCTCAAAGTCCTTGTGCACTTTTTGTACTAAGTTGAGCATTGTCTGCCACAAATGTATTTGACAGACATTAGTAAAATTAGAAAAATATGTCACAGAGCTCATATTTTAAACCCACATTTGCAGCTGTGATGGCGTTTTGAAATGTTGCACATGGCATATATATTCCTGCAGTGTGTAGGAAGCTTGGTTCATCAGTGTTGTGCTCCAGGACACTGAAGTTACAATTTGGAAGCTAATCCTAATAATGCTATTCATTACAAACAGAAAACTGAACTGAGCACTGGCCAAGTCTTAGCTGTTATCTTCAACTTGTAATTCAGATAGATGAGGATAGGCAGGGTAAATAAGTTAATACGTATTAATGTTTTCCAGTATTAGAAAATCTGGGCTGTTTCCTCAGGAGAAGAGGACGTTGGTCCACCTACCTTCATCATAACCACAGTTAGTTTTGTTGCCCTATGCTAGCAGACATTGACTAACTTACTGTAGCATCTCATTCAGCTGTTCTTCCAGTAAGTCTTTGATATATAGCACGTGAGGATAAAGTCCCGTGTTTTAAGTACTTGAAAACGACAGAATTCCAGTGTAATGGAACTCTTCTACAAGCAGTGATGTATCATCTTGCCTTAAGTCAACATGCATCTGGTTTTTTTCTAAAGGATAAACTCTATGTGTTTCAAAATTCAGCAACTGTCGATTTGGGGAGCAGGGTTGAAACAGAAATTAACTATTATGTTTTACTTTGAGTGAAGAATAGAGTACCAATATACATTATTGAAATGAGCATGTGCTTCTGACTTGCAGAACAAGCATTCACAGCTTATAAATACCACCCATATTTTTTGCTTCCAGATGCAATCTTCACATGGCCTTAGGAGCATGGTATTCCCTTCTTTACACTGATCTTTAATCTGTGGTCCTTGAGAAGAATGCCACCTTTTCCTATTAAGTCTTGTATTTCCACCCATTGCTCAAATCCTGTTGTGTTTGAATCATGAAGATGGTTGTCTGCAAAGAGGGTTCTGCACAGCAAATTTTGAGTATATTATGATCCTCAAAGTTTTTTTGGGGGGCACACGCCGCTGAATATCAAGATTACAGAAAAGCTTGCCACAGTTTATAGGTGTGTTGAGAAATTTTTTGTAGGACAGAAGTATAAGTCATTCGTGGGTTTGAGAAGCTTTTTTTTCCTTTTTTTTTTTTTCTTTTTTTCTAATTTATGGTCTGGCAAGCTCATTTTGGATTGCTTCATGTACAGGGACCTACTTTGTCTAGTTTGGAATTTAAAAGGAATTCAAAGATTTTAGAAACAGGATCTCAGGCAGCTCATGAACAGCCATAGGGAAACATGCCAGGATTTAACTGAGTAACTGGGTACACAGTATGAGTTTGATCATTTAAAATCTAAGTTGCCTGATGAGGACAACTGGGCTTAACATGATTTTGGAGGGTTGACATTAGTGCTCTGTGGCTTCTGTTGCAGATATTTTTAACAGATGCCCAGACTGATATATTACACTTAGAAGTTCTGGGGTGAATGAATTTAATATCTATGGCACTTTACCTATATGGCTTAAATGAACTTGGGATGGGGGAACCAACCAAGCTACTAACAGTAATTTGAAAGTGTTTTCTGTGATTTATCAAACAGGACTTTGACTTTCTCACATGTGAGAAGAGCGTTTCTGTTTCATCTCCTATGCTTCTTCTTGAATTCACTCAATCTCTGGTGTGGAGCTAAGTAGGTCTTTAGACAAAAAGGACATGAGAAAGAGGTAGAAAGGTGTTTCGGCCTAGAAGAAACAGGAAAAAGGAGGATGAAGTTACAGGGCTAAATATGTATTAACTTTATTTCTTTCACAAGTGTGTTTCAAACACATTATCAAAATAGCATTTGTCAGATTCATGTCCTTTTTAAATTATGCAGGGGGTGGCCTGAGATTAGTCTGTCAATTCACAGCCTCTCTGTCATAAGTAAACAAAAAAAGAGCAAGAGTGGAGTAGTCACGATGTTCTTCTTTTTAGATTAATATTGAAAAAGTTTTTCACTCCAAGTTTTTCAGTATTTGAAAGGCAGTTTATGAAAAGCTGCAAGCTTTAGGGCTTTAATTAACAGTGAATAATTAATTGGAGCAGCAGATGTTCCTGAATAACTGACTAGATGGATACAAGACATTGTTCTTTCTGAAGGAATATACAAGACATTTTTCTACTAAATACACTTATTTATTCAGGAAATTTTAAACTTAGTAGTCCTAATAGACTTTGTGGCAGGAAAAGAAAGATGTAATTTCTGAATCAAGTAGAATTTTTGATTAAACACATCTACATGTATAGAGGAGCAGAAATAGAAAGATTTCTCTTTTATCTGATAATCCTAAATGTATGTTAGTGATCTTTGCCTTCAGTTTCTTTAAAAAATGTACTTCCTAGTAGAAAATATCTGAACAA